TTTACGCACTTTATTGCTTTCAAATATGCATGATAGAAAGATTAGGGTTTGTATGCAACAACAAAAATCAAAACAAATAGCATGACTTAATACAAGACAAAAAAGCATGAAAAATGACAACACAATGCACACAAGCACCCTTAGGGTTTCACCCACTTGTTGCCTTAAAAACATGGTCATGGTATGCATGCTAGGTGTCTTGGCAAAACAAAATCAAAACAAAAAGATCATAGTCCCTCGATGACGCTATCTTGATTGCCTATACAAAATGATCTAGTCCCTCAAAAACTTGCTAAGATACTTGGTAACATTGCTATCATGGTCATACGATGACCCACGCCTGTCCCGTTTAACATCCAAACACAAGGTTGTTTACCAAATACAATGGTAAAGCAACAATGTCAATGGGTTAAAAATGTGTAGGAAATATCTTTGAGTAGGTTAGACAACTCCTAGTTACTTGATCTCTTGCAAACCATCCTTGCTAATTTCAAAATACACAATATCAAAACATTTTCCCAAAAAAACTTTCAAACATTGAAACATCTTTTCAAAAGACAAACATCTTTGTATATATTCAAACAAGAATCATTACAAAGGTTGCCTAGACAAAGGCATCTTTTCAAAATATTTTCAAAACCACACACAAAGCACCATTTCAAACAATTGAAAAGCAAAAGCAAGTGATCTAAACAAGTAACTAAGAGCCCATGGAAAACGATGGATGAAAAGGGTGCTAGCACCTTCCCTTTTCATAATCTACCCCCTGAACCCAAGAAAACATCTCAAAGGTCTTTCCTGTGCTTTTTGACCTTTCCTTTGGATAAAATAAAAAGTCGGTGGTGACTCTTGCTAAACTAAAACATTTACGAACACAAACGCAAAACCTTCAAGTCAGTTCTCCCACCGTATGGCACTTACCATACACGCGCGCTACCTTTTCCACTGGGGGTGGCTGTACATCTGGTAACATAAACAAAATAATAAATACATAACACAAGTCAGGTCTTGAAAATGACTTCATCTTCAACCTCTAGCCATGATTCCTGTAACTTGCTTATTTCTCAACAAAAATGAAAGATGCAAATATGAAAGTTGCTCCATTTTTCCATACGAATCCAACCATATAAATATCATAAGCTATAAATCAAATATGAATGAGAATTTCTAAAAGTACCAAATTATGACCTAACTTTTTCAGAGATTCAAACCTAAAATTCTCTAAGCTCAATCAATATAAATCAAATCTATGGACATGTACAGTTTCAGGGCAATGATGTCTACATTTTATCTTCACAAATGCAAGCCTAACAATGCCTAAATAAAAAGATAGAAGTTTAGAAATGATACCTCAAAACTGGAAATCGTGAAATGCAAATGAGCTTGATTCAAGGTGCTTCAATGATCAGGTTAGCTTGCTCAAGTTCCCAGGAAGCTAATGCAATGATTAGCTTGAGCAATGGATGGCTGGAAGTGCCTGGAGAAGTCAACTTGCAGTGCTCTGTTTTTGGTCATGGAGGATGATGGAAATGGAGTTACAGTTATGAAACAGGGTCATGGATGGACTATGCTTGATGTATAAGATCTTTGTGATTGATTAGGAAGGAAAACACACGAGGTAATTATGAGTTTCAAGTTCAAAGTCAGAATTTGTGCATCAATGGAGTTTTTGGACAGTTTCTGGCTTGCAAGTGTTTGAGAGAGTTTCATGGTTCTTTAGCTCGTGCCTTAGTTCACAAATAGTCCCTCTATTTATAAGCAACAAGTTTGGATACTTTTATTTGATCAAAATTCAAAATCACATGTTTAAGCTCAACATGTGATTTTATTGAGAAATCAAGTTTCAATGCCCTTTCTACTTGCTATTGTAGAGTGGTTATGCTTTAAACAAACTTTCTTCTGACTTTATAGATGAAGTATGATCAGAGGGAACAAGTGAGAGGCTCAAGAATTGACTTGGTGCATAAAGCTTGCTTTTCAAGAATGACATTGTTAACTTTCTTCCCAAAATGGCAAATTAAATTGGACAATGCTTAAACCACTTGGATTATAGCTCAAAAGTTTGTGTAATCCATTAATCATGGATAGATACACAAGTTAGAAGACCTGCAAAGCAAGATTATGCAGCCTAACATTGAGATTGGATTATGTGTTCATCAAGAAATGACTTGTAATTCAAGTTTGAAACCCTAACTTTTTGCCTTCGATTATCCTAGCTCAAGTATGATCTCAATGATTTCTTGGACATTTTAGAAAGCTTGTAGCACCCCCTACAACCTCTATGTTAGACATTTTTTAAGATTCATCTTGGAACTAGGTGAAACTTTTCCATGAAGTTAGGTCAAAATCCTGCCTAAACTAGGGAAACATTTAACTAAGTTTTTTTCAAGTTTCATGAACATGTCTTCACAAAATCATAACTTGAAATCTAAGAATTTCTAGAAAAAGTTCTGCTATACAATGTTTTATATATCATTGAGATCTACAGCTTTTATGTTGGAAGTTTCCTTTGAATCATCTTGCATCATGGTGAAATTTTGGCTCAAAGTTAGGAAAAAAATGTGAATTTCCAACACTTAGAAAAATTCCTAAGTTTAGAAATTTTGACTTTTCAAAATGAAAATCTTGACTTTTGATTTCTTGATGAAAAATTTTCATATTTGTACATGTCTTGATGAATTGTGATCTTTGAAGCTTGATTTTGATCAAAAAGTTAAAGTTTGACTTTTCAGTGTACAGTTGAGTTTTCATCAGTTGACTGAAATTCAACTATCATTCAATTGATATTGAGAAATGTTTTGAGCCATGCCATTAGGTAAAAATGAATTATTTGAAACGTTGAGATCATGTCTTAAACCAATGAGTCATTTGCTAGGTCAAAAATCAGAAATTGCACTTCCTCATTCAAAACTCTAATTTTGACCATTTTACCCTTTTGATGATCTGATCAAATTTCTTGAGGAATTATGATCCATACTTGATCAAATGACATATATGAATTCATGATGTTGATATGGATAAAAAATATGAAGTTTGACTACAAATTGACCACAATTGACTTTTTCCCCAATACAACTGATTTTAGGTCATCTGATCAATTGACTGAGCAAAAATGTGATCCAAGACTTGAAACTTGATATGAGCAATCTTGAAGGTCCAAAATGATCCATGAAAGTCATATGGTGCATTAAAAGTCCATTTATCCTTGTGCAAACTAAAACCCTAATTTTCAGTCATCAGTGCTTGAGGAGGTGTCTTGAGCTGATCAACCCTTGTGCAGACTTGAATCAAAGGAGATCTTGTGAGAGATTACTTGGGAATGAGAGGGAAAATTTTGGGGTACAACATACATCCACACATGTGCTAGGGTTTTGGATAATAGATTTTTAAAACTACAAAAAAGGACCTGATAGACCAAGGAAATTGAGAATTAGGGAGACTGGTGAGGAAGGTGCTAGAAGAAGGTTACCTGGTGTGTCCTATAGATGCAATAAGTGTGACAAGTTTGGACATAATGTAAAGTCATGCAAGAGTAAGAAACAAGATCTAAATGCCTTGAAAAGAAAGGTACATGACTATATTTTGTATATTTTGTGTATTTTGTGTATGGTTGTAGATTGGTATGTAACTAGTATCTTTTTGTAGAAGAGGGTGAGATCAATTGCTGATTCAAATGTTGCAGATGTTCAAACTGAAACAAGTCAATGTAATGAAGTTGCTGCAGTGAATGCTCAAATTGTAGTTGCTGCAGTGAATGATGCATCTGATGCAGTGAATGTTTAAAATGAAGCTTCATTGTTTGGGGATATAACTGATGATTTGATTTCAAGTCTACCCGATATAAATCCAAGTATGCAAACAACAACAAGTACCTCACTTCTCCAATTTCTTTGTTACTGTTTCCAATTTCACTTCTAGTACCTCACTGCAGCAACTTTAGTATAATTAAAAGTAGTGAATGCACTTTTTATGCAGAAACATAATATCAAGATGTTCCAAAAATATTCAAGATGTTTGACAGAAACATAATTCTTTTCATTAATATCAATATTATCCAAAATACATTATACTGATAACAAGAAAAATACAACTATTGAACCAACTAAAAATTACATGAAATTATACAATAGACCAATAATAAAACAACTCATAACAAATGCTATCTTGAGCTGCATATTAATCCTTCACTGAGCTTCAAGCTTCATCTTCAATTTCTCCAGTTTCTTTGTTACCGTTTCCAATTTCATTTCTAGTACTTCACACTTCTTACAAAATGGTTAAATAACACTATTTCCTTTGATGGAGTCTCCAATTTCATCATCCCATAGGAATAATTCAAATATATTCCCAGTCTACAAAAATCAAAACTTCTGTTAAAATTAATAAAAATCAAAACTTGCTATCAATTTTTGCCAATTAATCAACAAACAAACTTACCCCAACATTATGACATTTCTAAAACTTTCGATTGTGGTTTTGAACTGTGTTGGACACCCACATCTTCATTTCTCTATCACAACCACATATGGGTAATCCAGGAAACGAAACTGAATTAACACTGCTTCCAAGAGAACTGCTTCCAACCATGCTTCCACTTGAGGGGACGAAGAAGAACGACACATGATTACAAAGCAGAGGATTGAGACGAAAGGGAAGGAAAAACGAAGATAGAAGATTGGAATGAAGGTAAAGAATGGAACAGAAGGGGAATAAAAACCCTAGGTTTATCATATACACAATCACTCCATTGCAATTTCCACATAGCAAATTATCATACACACAGTCAACAAACCAAATAAAAGGATATGGTGAAAATGATTTATTTAATTTATAAGAAAATGATCATAAAAAAATTACTTAAGAAGAGCAAAATCAAATCTCGCCCAAATGACAAAGGACATGTAATTAGCCCTTAATAATATAATTATTCCCCTTCTTTATAAACCTGAACTACATATTCATTCTTCATTCTTGACTCTTGAAATCCTTTCGAGCATCAAATGGGTGATAATTCAATCCTTGCTCCTTCGGTCCAAGAATTGGCAAAACAAGCCATTTCAAAAGTTCCAGACCAATATCTTCAACCAAATCAAGATCCTATTTTTTTATCTGACAGAATAACATTATCACAACTTCCAATTATTAACTTTGATAAATTATTAAGTGAAGATGAAATAGAGCTAGAGAATCTAGACAAAGCTTGTAAGGAATGGGGTTTCTTCCAGGTTTTGATCCCTTCCTTAATTTAAATTAGTTGGTAATTTTTATCAATAATTTTTTAATAATAATGAATTACAGCTAATGAATCATGGAGTGAACTCTTCACTGGTGGAAAGTGTAAAAAGTGGTGTTGAAGAATTTTTCAACCTTCCAATGGAAGAGAAAAAGAAGTTTTGGCAAACACCAGAAGAAATGCAAGGGTTTAGACAAATTTATGTTGCATTAGAAGAAGAAAAGCTAAGATGGGGAGATATGTTTTTCGTTAAAACTTTCCCATTGCATAGAAGGCATCCCTATCTAATTCCTTCTATCCCACAACCATTCAGGTTCTTTTCTTTTCATTTCACTCCTTTATGCTTTTTAATCTTGTCTTTTATGCAAGAAAAAACAATTTTATATTGGTGCATTGCAGAGATGATTTTGAGAACTATTGTCTAGAGATGAAAAAACTGTGTATCTCAATCATGGAATTTATGTCAAAAGCATTAAAGATCAAACCAAATGTGTTTTTTGATTTGTTTGAGGATGGATCTCAAGCAATGAGGATGGGTTACTACCCTCCATGTCCCCAACCAGAGCAAGTGATTGGACTTAATCCGGATTCTGATGTTACTGCCATTACAATTCTTCTTGAAGTTAATCAAGTACAAGGCTTGCAAATCAAGAAAGATGGAATGTGGATTCCTATCAATCCTCTCTCCAACGCTTTTCTTGTCAATGTTGGAGATGCTTTGGAGGTAATTAAACACACACTTAATCAACATTTTAAGATAATTGTTGTTGATTAATATTTTAAACACTGTGAGGAAGGTATTGACCAATGGAATTTACAAGAGCATTGAACATCGAGTAACTGTAAATTCAATGAAGGAAAGGATCTCTCTTGCTGCATTTCATAATCCTTGAATGGGTGGAAATGTAGGTCCAACACCCATCCTTGTTACTCTTGAAACTCCTGCAATGTTCAAAACAATTTATGTTGAAGATTTTGTCAAGAAAAACCTTTCAAGTAGGATAAATGGGAAATCCTATTTAGATGGTCTTAAGATCTAAAAGAAGATTTCTCAATAATTTAGTGGATTTAATGTTGGGATTTACCACATTCATAACAAGTCACATGTCTATCATTCTTATATTTGTCTTTCATCTTTTTTGGTGAATAAGATTTCTTCTAAAATTTATCAAATTCGTGTCCAAATGCTTGAGACGATTTTTTTTAATGTATTTATTGCACCATTTCACGAACATACTCATTTCTTCTTCTTTATTGCAGCGTTTAATCTGTGGTCGTGTTTGGTAAGATTTTCAAACAGTATGGGTACATCCAAAGTCTTCAAGTCATGTGATTCTTTAATGGTTGTTACTTTTGGTTGTTATTCCTTGTACATAAACCCTAATACTTTGTTAGCACAATCTTAGTTAGATAAAGCATGTGTTTGGAAATAAATGGAAATTACGGTGAGAATCAATGTAAACGCAGACCTACTAGAAGCTCCTTTTTGGAGCTTCTCTTTTCATGGTAAATTGTCCTCTAAATGTGCAGTGGCGGCGAAAACAAGCTGATCCAAACACACACAAAGTCTTTTCTAAATTCTCTAACTTGTTGATTAATTGAATAAAGAACATGTTATGGGCTGGGATGGCGTTTGGCACATCGTTGGATAGGCCCAATCCACCACACTTGCTATGGCCCAATAGCATTTCAGCCCAAGTCACTAACCATTGGGGATGACCCCACGTGTCCACGAGGGGAACCTGGCCAACGGCTATTCGAAACCACCATCCTGCCCACCGAGAATAACGGGTCCAACTTACCTATCATCTTGGGACAGTTGACCAGAGAGGAGGTCACGTGTTGGACTCACTACTCACGTAACCCTGGCAGTCCTCGTTATTGAGCCTGATTGTTTGGCCCAATGCATGGATCTTGGTCCAACGCTGGGGGCTATAAATACACTCTCACGTGAGAGGGTCAGGTATTCATTCATTCTACACACTTTCATTACTTGCATTTACTCTGAACCTTACTTTGGCATCGGAGTATCTTGCAAGTACCACCCATTTCACTTCAACAGCCATATAGTTCTAGCTTGTGGGCCATTGACGACCCCTTTTGATCAGGTAAGATCAGTAGCGCCGTTTTTGAGAAACTTGCTTCCCCATATTTTACTTACTGAAGATCAAAGAAAACTTTCAATCTTCCGATCGTCATGGCCACTCAAGATAACAATGATGATTCGAGCGTTCACTTTGTCGAGTTTGGCAACAACAACAATAATGATGCCAGCCACGAGCTCGATGCCAGGGACGGAAGAACCGCTTCTTCCTCCACTCCAACACATCCTCTCGACCAACCTCCCCGACACAACTACAAAGTTGCAGCATACGAGAAAATACTTGTGCGGAGAATACTGACCCTACGACCAAAGCTTTATTCGCGGAGATCAACAAGACTAATTACATGAACTTCGCACAAGGCAAGCACCTTGTAATTCTAGAAACTCGCATGTCCCTAAAAAGATACAGGAGGCCTGACTCCCGTACCCCATCTCCTCGAAGATAGAAGCCCCATTCGCGATCTCCTCCATGGAGACACCAACGGGGAGATTCTCGCAGTCCTTCTTCCCTTTGTACCGAGCGACTCCCCCGACTAGAGAGGACCCAAAAGGAAATCATCAAGAAGCACAATTGTACCCCTCCGTGCAAAGAACGGTGTTCCCCTACTTCTGAAAAGGACGAGAGGAAAGAAGAAAAGAAAACTCAGTCGAGGAGTCCTCTTTGTAATAGAAGACACTGCTACGAATTTTCTCCATCTCGATCCCCAAGATAAAGCGATGAAGATGACATTTGCGGTCCGCTATCCCAAGCTATTATGGATGCTCATATCCTTAAGGCAATGGAGAAACCTCCACCTCTAAACAACTATGATGGCTCGACGGATCCTGACGACCTTTTCGACGCCTTCGAGGCGATGCTCTAATTTCATAACATCGGGGGCACCATCAAGTGCAAGTTTTTCCCCATGACTTTTAGGAAAAATGCTATGGACTGGTACAAAGGTCTTGCCCCTGAATCCAACACCTCCTGGAGAAATCTAAAGAGCCAATTTTCCAGCACCTTTATCGCTTCTCGGTGTCACCCTAAGATTGAGGCGTCCCTCAAAGCAATCATCCAAGGAACCGATGAATCTCTCTGAGCATACATTGATTGGTTCAACAGTGAGTTCATTCAGGTCCCCACCATCGACCGCATGAAGAGGTATCTACTCGAGAAAAGACTTCTCTCGGGTGTTGTACCCCAACTTTTCCCCCTAAGATCCCTTCATCATACCACATTGTTTCAATCACCACAAAACCACATTAGGGATTTTGGTTCTTCTCCCTATCTTTAGCTTTGCTCTTTGAGAAGTTACCAAGCACCTTGATTTGTTTGCTTTTGTTATCATAGATATTGTACTTTGATTTTTCTCTCTAATTAATAAAATGCAATATTGGTTTGTCTTACTTGTAGATAATGTAGGTAAAAGCAATGAGGTTTAGCAAGTTTCTTCACGGGTTCATGAGTTTATTTCCATGCCCTAGTCAAAAGCTTAAGAGATTCAAACCTCACCATTGAAGTTGTTTTGAAGTTGATATGAAATTGGTTTTGGTGGCCATAGTTCCTCATCATCATCCTCAACAATTTCTATTCACAAAGGAAGAATATTGGCACAAAAAGTTTGTTCAAACTTGGCAAAGTTCCACCAAGCATTCTCTTGATCTAGAGGCTAGGGTTTTGGACTTCAAAGAGGCATATCTTGCTCATCTTTTGTCATTTTTGAGTGATTCCAAAAACATTCTTCTCTTCAAAGAGTTACCAACAAATCACTTCAAAATCTCCAAAGAGTTTTCATGTGGAAGGAACTAGGTGAAGAAGAAAGATCACAAGCCATCTAGTTGAATCCCTAATTTTCCATATGTGACTTCAAATTGTCATAACTTGGCAAATTTTTATCACCTTGAGCCCATTATTTTTCCATGATGATCTTAAGGATGTGTACTGCATGCCTTCTTTTATGTGCAAAGTAAGAAAATGGATGGAAGTTGCCTTAAGAATGCAAAAGCTTATAGGTCATTTCATGATTTTTGGCCAACTTCAACAAGTCATAACTTCCTCAATTTTTGGATATTTTCAGTGGTTCAAAGTGAAAAATGTCATTCAAGAGATCCACTTCATTCCATCTTTTTGGGTCAAGAGCAAATTCTAAGTGGAAAGCCATGTTTGGATGCAAGAGATTATATGTCATTTTTAAAGAAGAATTTGAAATATTTCTAAGTATGGAAAGTCAACTCTTTTTCTCCAACTTTGACTCCATGTAATTTTCAGCTCAAGCCTCCAATTGAATCCATTCTTTTTCCATTGCAAAGTTTGTTACCTCGTCTTTCCAAAGCATAAAGAATCATGCCTTAAGACTCCCTGAGATGGAATGCCATTGTTTCAAAAGTGGTAACTTGGAATTGAAGTTTCCCTGCAAGTCAGAATTTGAATTCCATGTTACAACCTCTAAACCTCAAATTAGCACGCGTTTTGGGTCTAAACATGATTAGCCAACTTTCCCAAGTGGATTAGTGCATCAAAACGCAAGAATTGGATGAGTTTTGGTGAAGTTTGGATCACACTTCACTCGTGCATCAGGTTTGCACGAATTCCATCCAAAACGCATCATTCACTCTTCCTTTTGATCCCATTTGCTTCCCTATAAATAGAGGGTCATCCCCCATTCAATTCCCCAAGCTTAGATAGCCAGAATCATCCTACCAAACTTGCTTCATAACTCAGAATTCAACTACTTCGAATCCTATTCTCAAGCCCTTTTCAATCCATTTTCTCCATCAATTCACCTTCCTTGATTGTTTCTGAAGCTAACCATACCATTACATTAAAGAATTGTTCCCTATATTGCTCCATAGAAGTCCAGTTTCAGAGCTCTGCAACTCAACTCCAATAGTTAAATTCCTTCATCAATTTTTCAAAACTTTGGTACCATTGTGTTGCTCTCATTGCCCTGGTTCTAGTCGCAACACTTACTTTTATCTGGAAACACGTTTTGACCATGAATTTTCAAACCCCCTTTCAAAACTTTCTTTATAAATTGCTTGAGTTATAGTTTATATAAAAATGGCGCGAGGGTATGGTTATCTTCGTCTTGAAGAGACGAAACGAATGGCATAGGTCTGAGCTTATGATTTTACAGTTTTTACAGACCTGCAATTCGTGAGGCTGGAGGTTGAAGATGACCAACGTGTCACCTTCTAACCAATGAAAGCGTGCCATTTGTATTTTTTGAATTTCTGATTTTACATTTGATTCAGTGCTTTATTCAGTAAAGACCATGATATGCATAGCGCGCCAAATCCCTTGGATTTGATTACTAACTGGTTTTGACTCTCATCCAATGGTCCACATCTTTTTCTTTTATTTTCTTTTTCTGATTTTTATATTTTAATTGTTTTAAATTTCAAAAAATCATAGAAAATTCACTTTTAGTCCAAAAAATCCAAAATGATTATGAAAAATATTTTTGATTATTCTCTTTCTGATTTTTATTTTTTCACAATTTAATTTTGTGTTTTGGTATTTTTTATGAATTTTTCACATATTTGATTTATTTAAAATGTTTAAAAATACTTTTACACATTTTTAAATTCTGAAAAAATTATGGAATGATCCAATGACATTGTGACAAATATTGGTGACTTTATTTTATTTTTGTTTCTGACTTTACTATTTTTTACTATTTTTGTTTATTTTACCCATTTATTTTAATTTTTAAAAATAGTTTCTGACTATTAAAAAATTCCCAAAAAAATTGTATAATTACTTGACCTATTTTCTGATTTTTCTATGGTTTTATCTTTCATTTCTTG